AAAACAATGGGTTTCTCCCGGTGAATCTGCTCCAAAGAAGGCGAAGACGGTCCCATCGGCCGGAAAGGTCATGGCGACGATTTTTTGGGATGCGAACGGCGTCATCCTCATGGATTTATTAGAAAAAGAAAGAACGATCACTGAACAATACTACAGTGAGTTATTGGACCGCTTCGACGAAAAATTGAAGGAGACACGGCCGCATTTGGCGAAAAAGAAAGTGCTGTTTCACCACGATAACGCACCAGCACATTCATCCGGAGTTGTCGCCGCCAAACTGCATGAATTGCGTTATGAATTGCTGCCGCACCCCCCGTATTCACCCGATCTGGCTCCCTGCGACTTTTTCTTGTTCCCTAACATGAAGAAATGGCTCGCGGGAAAAAAATTTAGCTCAAACGAGGAAGTTATCGCCGAGACAGAGGCGTATTTTGGAGAGTTCGACAAATCCTATTTTTTGGAGGGGTTAAAAAAATGGCAGGAACGTTGGGAGAAGTGTATCTTTCTATAAGGGGACTATGTTGAAAAATAAAAAAAAATTTTTTTTTAAAATGATGTCTTCATTTCTAACACGGGTACTTATTGAACCGCCCTCGTATTGTCTATATTATTGTGTTAACTGAATAGCTATTATGTAGCAATATTATTCCTATTAGATATGAGGTGCGTTGCAAAATTTTTTCGAAAAAAAAGCTCAGAACAGCGTACAAAGAAAATCTTAACGTAACATGATTCGTTACGGATTTTTTGTGTGGAGACCCTTAGACTCTTAGAGCCGAAATACTTTGCTGAAACATGTAGTATAATACTACAACATTATTATATTACTTATGTTACGATTACATTTATAATGTATACTACGAAATAAGATAGCAAGTATAAAGTACTTGGATCGTAGGATAACAGTGATACACTGATGAAAATATTATGCTGAAAATTTTACTGAAATTCCCTCTCAATTGACCCCATTTCATTTTCATTCCATCAATGTACGTAGCTTTCAATTAAATTCAGTAAATTTCAACATACTTTAACTTTATATTCGAGTTTTGATATATTATGAACTTAATGAATATTATGAACTTAATGAATAGTGAGATGAAAGTTACTAAAAAAAATTACTGAAATATATAATAATAAATATTTAAAAATAAATCATAATTTTCATCATGAAATTCAATATAATGCTGTGAAAAATAATGAAAATTAAAATATAATTCTCTATAAAATAATATATAAAACCATTTTTGAAATATTAGATATAAAATTTACTGAATTAAACTGAAAACTGCATATATTAAGAGTCACGATGCAAATGGGTTAATGAGTCAATTGAGAGAGTATTTCAACAAAATATCCCCATCTGGATATTCAAGTTATGTGGACGTCTTATTTATCATGACCTTGAGACTTCCATTTCCACTAATGTGTTCGAATATTTTCTTCAGATAATTTTCCGATAATTTTGTTATCGTCTCGTCGACGATGATACTGTGAAGATTGCTCATCGATACGGAGCCGGTTTCAATATACAGACTTGACTGACAGAGATGATTTACGAAAAAAAAAAAAGACGTAAAAACATACTATATCATATAAAATCTTCGGTCGCAAAATCAACGCGGGAGAATCGTGCGTATATCGTTTTTTATTTATATATTTACCGCACGTATGTCCTCGCGTGCGCGGTCCGCTTTTGGCGTCTTTGGAAAATACTTTGATGGAAAAAATGAGTATTTTTATTACTCCCTCGTGTTCACGCGGCCGCGATAAAAATAACGTCCTTGGTACAGATATCACGCTCCGCCAAGTTTCCTTCATCTTATCTGTCTAAATACGACACAATAGTACGAGATGTACTTGAAAGATAGATGGAGCGTTTTCATCGCGTACTTTTTCCGATATCTCTTTACGTTTTCTTCATAAAATTTACGAAAATTTTTGAAAGTGAAAGTAACACGTAACACGGTTGTATGTAAAATTTCGGAATGCGGAATGCTGAGAATACAATAGGATCAAGTTCGGCCTCGAGTGGATGGTATTTACGTTTTAAACGAGATACGCGCGGAGAACAATAACTTTACGACGTAAAGTGAAGTTTAAAGGGTCGTACCTTCGATATTTCAGCTGTGCGAAGGCACAACGCGGGTTCACGAAATAAAATTACTTGAATCGGGAGATTTGATCTGTCTGTATTTCTCTTTTCCATTTACGTATTTACAGCCTTTTCTCTCTCTTTCTTTCTTTATCATTATGTCAGTCGATCGGCGAAATGTACAGTTAAAACAGTCGTAAGTAAACAGCACCGGGAAACCTACTGCGTAATTATGAGATGTAGTATAACGCAATATGATTCACAATTAACGCACGAGACACTTCAGAATCTCACACTCAAGGATACTTGGATCAATTTTATCGCCTGTAAACTGGAAAATAGTTTAGAAGATTCAGCGACAGTTTTATTAATATAAACAACGTTTATATTAATTCGTCAAGAGTAAATTTTCTTGAAGAAAACGAGAGTGATTGGGACGAATAAAAATGGTATCGCGCGCGCGCGCGCGTGTGTGTGTATGTGTATTCAAGTGCAAGATATTCATAATTAAAGTGACATGACCACAATTAATGTCTCGTGCGCCAGTTACGAAACATACTATACACGTAATTTGTGTAAATTGAAATTTTTAACTCGGCTTGAGATACGTACGTTGATCTTCAGGAGCTTCAGTTGAATTTTGAAATTAATTTAAACTCTCATTCGTTATTTTACGCGGCACAAAGTTTAGTTATACGGTTGTTACGCAATTCAGCGATTTTTATCGTCTTTTTCCTAGAATTTCAGAATTCTTTACTTGCACCGTTAGCAGTAAAAATGTAAAAACAACGCATGCTGACATTTTTTCTTTAGAAAATTCAAAGAGAAAGATCTTGGAAAATTCTATCATAAATTAAAACAATTTATGACAGAGTATTTACAGAGGTATTTACAGAGTATTAGGATGTACGATACGACTGTGTGTTGTCATTGTCATCTGATTATTTACAACCCTGTAATGGTTCAATTATAAAAGAATAATCTCGCACCATATGTGAGAATTCATCAAGCATATGGATACTTTTTCTCAGTTGTTCGTTCAACGTTGTGTCAAACCGAGTAACATCGTGTAGAGATCAATCACTAGCGGTAGTGAATCATCTCTCAGTTGCACGGCGATCACAACAGGTAGTAAATGTTTATAAAAATCTAGCACTACTGTTACATCAGTTCTTTGTACGTTTCACATAATCGATCAGTTTCACATTTAATCTGCTGCTTCATACGCTGTTAATATTTGCTAACCTTGCTGTCCCGCTCGGGTATTCGTCGATGTTCGTGTTCAGAACACGATAATCTCATGGTTCTTGCCCGAAGAAAAATAACGTTATGTTATTTAATCAATTTTCTATCCGCGAATAAGTATTTATATGAAGAGAAGAAGATAATTGATTAAAATCATGGTAACGTGCGTATAGTACTTGGCATAATACCTTTAACATTTACTAAGTCTAGTGAGCACAAAATCGTTCTTTTACACCGAAAACTGTCGCTGTCAAAACCATCTCGAGGTTCGTATGCTACGTTCAGTAGAGAAAGCAGCTTTGCTACTGTTGTAAAATTCGTGAATCTGATTGATGTATGTTCTTAGATTCAGCCAAGATTAAGAATCATACACCAATCAAACTCGAATTTTACAACAGTTTCAAAGCTACTTTCTCTGCTGAACGTAGCCAATGTCGCCGCTTCTTCGGAATACTCAACAGTCGTGATGCCCGAATATGTAAATTCATCGCGTGTGATCGAAAAATTTCACAGTCACTAGATCTAGTAAATGTTAAAACTATTACGTCGGGTATTGTATATGCCCGTTTGAATTCAAACGCACCAAGTGTGTACAGAAAGCGAATGGAACGGCAAGGTAGAAGCTATTATTCCGTTTGAAATGCATTGCACGAGTTAAGTTAAATTCAATTGGACTAGCTGTTTGTGCGATTGACATTGTTACAAAACGAGATAAAAACAGTAGCTGTCTACGAAGTAAGATTGCTGCAAGCTGCTTATCACTCTTCGAAGTGTTGCATTAGATGCTAGGCGTTAGTGTGTGTGTTCGTAATTTCCTGTCGCCAGTGAAAACGATATTTCACAAAGTACACGTTCGCTAATTTGTTCGTGTAGATCGCGCTTTTCACGAAGTCTAGTCAATGTTGACGTATTGACCAGTGACAGTGGCAGTCTGGTGATATCTTCTTCTGCCCGAGAAGTCTTCGTTCTCCTCGTTCAACTGAGCCGAGCAGGTCTCGACGCCCGGATGTACCGGTGTCACGACGATCTGCTCGTAATCGTAAACCTTTCTTCTGCAATAAAGAAGCGCAAATCGTTGATATTCCGAGGGAATCGTGACAAAAGAAATGACCCAGTTTTGTGCATTTTCAGTAATAATTATAACGGAAATAATTTTTATCTTGATTCTTTCTTGAGCTTATTAGCTTATATCTCGAGTTAGAATTGTACATAATGTCGCGAAAGTTTACCCCATAAGACGAAGCAATGCGGTCCGCAGCCATTTGAAGAACTGGAATTCCGCCGAGACTCCGGGCTTAACAGCAGGATTAGCGTGACCGACGTAGCTCCAGACGATGAATACGACGACGATATTGACGATAGCGTATCCCCAATGCACGAGAAACATTATAATCAGCTTTACGAGGCACTGAAGTAAAAATATAGATATAGATATAGTCTTTAAACATGAATTATTCTTAATTGGTTTAATTATTTGTCAGTCATTTGCAAGAGATTTTGCAATGTTTTTTTCTTCAGTATGCGCGAATACTTACACCCAGTAACGAGAACCATCTATTGCACAAAGGACTATACCAATTTCCCAGTTTATTGTGTATGTGAACTTTTCGCTCCGCACTGGCGACACTAGCATTGTCCTCGATGCTTGGCGACGAATCCACGTACACATTGTTATCAGAAACACTGTTATTTCTCTGCAAGTAATGATCATATGTTATATATATATATTTTTTTTTTACTTCAGCTTACGCGCTCAGAAAGGACTCAGTTTACAATGTTTACCACATATATTCACCCACACCTTATAACTATTTGACTAACCAAAGTTTAATATCTAAATATGACACAAACACAATATTTCTCTCATTATTTCTATTCTATTCATTACGGCCTTTAATATCTAATTTTTACACAATCCTGTTTTATTCCTTAAATATCTAGGTTTTCTTCCTTCTATATCAATCATCTTATATCTTTTATTATACCTCGTAACTGAAATCTTGCTATCCTTTCATTGTCTCTGTATATCTTTTTCTTTTTTTATTATCTCTTACTCTACGTTCACTCCTTTATTTCTGAGTTGTACTACTTTTATATACCTCATCTATTCTTATTATATCTCTCTCTTTCTATCCCATATGTTTCCATTTCCATCCAACAATTCTTTATAAGACACCTTTCTTTACCTTTTAATATCATTTCCTCACATCTCATGGCTCTTATTTTCCACCTTACCCTTAATTTATCCATCGCTAATTCTCTTTAAATCATATACCTTAACGTACAAATATTTAATCCAAACATCCATCTTATATAATTCATTATGATTTATTTTATTTTTTTCCTCCCACCATATTTTTACCCCATGTGCCATAACATCCTGTACAAAATATTTGAAAAGTATCCACTATCTCCTTATAAAATCATCTTTATATATTTTTTCTTCTAGCCTCCCTACCTTCCTAGAGCGGTCATTCTATTTTTTTCCTATCCATTTCCGTAACATGATCAATATAATTACCTTTCCTATATTAAACATAAATCCTAAATATTTAATATTTTAAACCACCTGTATATGTTTATTTTCACATTTCCATATCTCTTTATTTTCCTTTCCTCTGTGTTGATTACTGTTCTTTGGAATTGTACAGAAATGCATATCTCATGTATTTCTCACCGTGAGGTTCTTGTGCCTTATCCTTTCTGGGAATAAGCTGTCCAAATCGTTGTCCGTGTCGGTAATGGAATTGTTCCTACTGGCAGAGCCATAGTTGCGATCGAACGTCGGCGACTGAGTGCGAAATCTCTGCTCGCGCGTATGACGGATATCGAAGGTTTGCGCGAGGGCAAAATATGCATAATCCAGGCACGCGTACGTCAACAGGAAAGGCATCGTCACAATTGGCGCGAGTGTGTTAATTTGTCCGGTGATGATGAAAGTTAGCGTTACCACAGCGACGACTAGCATAGCATATATAGGTACTTTATTTGGTCCTCTCTGGAAGAACGCATCTTATTACTGTTATCACTGCAAATCAATCCAACTTTACATCATCAGACTAGTTATAAATGTTAAAAAAACATTAAAAGAGACGAAACAACATCGAAAAGAGAATAATCACCCCTCTTTGCAAGCAGCTCATTCCCGGTATAACGTTTTGGCTGGCGATGGATTGGAGAACGCGGGGTGTACCGTACATAGCACCCAGACAGCTGCTGAACGACGATACGTAGAGACCAGCGAGCAACAACACCGAGATTGCTGACACTGTCGATGCTATCATGAAATTTGTGAGCAGAGCGCTCCTGACACACGTGGCCGCCAACGTAAGCGAGAAGCAGAGATATAAAAATGTTCTGCAAAAATTATTGCGGTACAGAAGATTATACAGATTTCGGATATTCGCGTCAATATTATTAAGTTCTTCTTACCCGGTCCCTAACGCCGCCAAAGTACCATTGGGGATATCACTGGATGGATGCTTCAAATCCCCGCTCATGTTGATTCCAGCTAAGACACCAGTGACTGTCGGAAAAAATACACCGAACACGGTAAACCAGCTGTATCCGTCTTGATAATCGGTAAATGTGTTGTTCTTCAGGTTCCCAGACAACCATCCTTCAAAACCAGCGGCTGCAACACGAATGATATTATAACTTCATTGATTTTAACCGCGTGATATCGTAATTTGTCACATCCGATGTATAAGAAGAGTCATAAAGTCATTTTAGCGGTACATTTACCGCAAAACTCATATAAACTCACCGATGTTGGTGTGGGTAAAACTTCCGACAAAGAAATCGACTCCAGCGAGAAGCAAGAGCAAAAGGAGAATAAACTGTAATTTTATGACCCACTTAACACCAGCCACGTTAATTACAGACAATAATATGACTGCTGCACAGGCGAAACCACGTTGCGCCCAAGTGGACTCCAAACCTACAAGACCGGCCATCGATTCTCCAAAACCTAAAACGTTCAGAGCACAACCCACCGCCTGAAATAAAATCCACAGACCGATTCTTTGAACGTTGGCAAGTCAAGGGAATAAGCTTCATTTGCTCATACCTGCCCAAAACAATAAAGCAGTCCAATGGAGCCGCCGAATCTGGAGCCTAGTACATGTGATAATAGGAAATAAACTCCACCACTTTCGACTCTACATCGTTCGCATATCCCTACAGCTGACAATACTGTCACTAATGCAATACATACTGGAATAAATATATTATCATTATTATTGTAAGTTCACCTAGTTGTGTACATTATAACAGTACATACTTTTATTTAATATTCTGTAATAATTGATATGTTTTTTTTAGCTGAACTGGCTGCATCAGAAATTTTCCAAAAAATTCACATATATATTGAAGTGTACGTAGTTTAGTGAACAGCAACTAACAGTAACATAACATAAATGTTATGATTTCCTATTAAGAATATAAATACATGTTATGGAAGTTACATCGTTGAGTAAGTAATTATAACATCAATGTTATGTTACTGTTAGTTGGTGTTCACTTAGGTAGGAGATTCTCAGTATGCATATATTTCTTGAACTAGTGCAGCTGGTTCAGCTAAATAAAGAACCAGATCATAAATATTACCTGTACATAAAATTATTAATACTGCGTTTAAAACGCCTGCTTGGCCGACTATCCAGCCGGATCTCAAAAATACAATCACTCCGAATATATTGATAAGACAGGACGTGAAGACTCCGTCCCAGGTACCAAACAGTACGGGTTGGGAGATAAAAAAGTTCGATTTCCACCAGGGATCCGAACTCTGAGGAAGATACAGAAACAGGTATGTGACACTTGCCATAGAGAATAGCGTGGATAGGATCAATATTGTTTTATGACAGCTTACATATTCTTGTGCAAACAGTTCATTTGTACCAGCCTGATACATCTCAGGGCCGAATGCATCGTAGCCTTCATCGTCTCTTTTCGCGTTCCTTTGTGCCTCCTCCGGGTCGCGCAAACCGTACCTGGACCAATCCACATCTCTATGCACCTGGATATCGCCGTTTGGAAGTCTATTCTCCTCGTTTGATCCCATATCTTTCTGTACGTGATGCTTTACGATCAAAATTAGTTGCTCCTCATTGAACTCAGTCTCATTCGCGTAAAAATTATTATTGGAACTCTTTTACAGATACGACGTGTAGCACATTTGTGTGAATAACGCGATCAAATACACCAGATTTTTACATAATTTTCTGATTTGTGACACTTTGTCCCGACACTTTCACTCCGCGGTGACGTATAGGTTAGAATGCGGAATACACGATATGACGAATAATCTTTAACATCGCGCAAGTACTCGACAGCGTTTTGAACGTTTCAATGGTTTCTCTGTGTATCAGTGCGATATATCTGCATATTTACGCGAAGATATCAGCCAATGGTGACGTGTGAGAGCGTACATGAAGCCGCCATTTTGATTTTTCTAACGCTAATCTACGGGTCAGATCGTTCCAGACGTAAACGCGATTATCGACATTGTTGCTGAAAACCTTGATATCAGAATTTTCGCAGCTACAACTTGATTAGGCAGCTGGATAAGATTAAATCCCAAATTTTCTCACACAGACTCCGTACAGACCCAAGCAACAATTCTCCTCGGAGCAAAAATGTTCACGTTAAAATATACATTTATTCATATATATCTATATATATATATATATATATAGACCCTCATTAGGATATATATATATATATATATATATATATATCAATGAGATTATAAACGAATTATGCTTTCACAGAAACATACAATCTAGAAACACATTTATTCGCCGCATTCGTCTTTGAATTGTGTGTACGGTACAAAATTTAAAATTATCTTGTAACTTATAGGATCAGTGTTGCACACAAGAAAAGATATTATTTTGCAGTCACCATTGAAAAACCTTCATCATTCTTGCGATCGTACAATCACTCTTACCATTCTCACAACATAAAGTGCATTGTACCAGTTTGTGAACCAGTCTTTGACAATATAATAATGTAATTTGAATAGAGTGTGTAAGGCTCTTAGATGTACAATCTGAAAGTAAAAGTGAGTCAGTGAAAGCTTGAAACGCCGCAGTGTCAAAGACGCTATAGTCTACTGAAGTTACAATAAACGTTTAGATCCCGTTTGATCCGATATCATCCGGTATCTATAAATAAGAATAAGATTATAGAGTCACATATTCGTTCACAGAGAATCCGAAGGCAAAGAAAATGATGAAAAAAATTGTACCGTAAGCTCTACCGGAGAAACAATTCGCAATTGTTTTCACGGCGAACTGTTGCCGGAAAGCCGTAATTTCTTCGCTTCTTCGCTGTATCTCCTCAGTACTTCTCACAATATCCAGCTCTCGATCATGCAGACTGTGAAAGACATTTGCGAATTATTACTTTTTTGCGTTTTGTCGTATGAACACGGAGGATGAGCCCAATGGGATCGAAACGTTTGTTGTGACTTTTGTATATTATAATGTCTCATTAATACTGTAATTGAGATGCAATTCAAAGCAAAATACATCAATATTTCAGGTTCTTACTGGCTCGCTTTGAATCTCCGATTAATAATATATCGCAAATCTACCTCACAAAGATACAATTTCTAATTTATGTACAGCGCCTATTTAATTAAGCTCCTCGTCTCCATTTTTCTCCGTTACTAAATTTAGTCATCTCGCGACCACTGACACCGCAAGTGCCAATTCCCACACGGCCGTTAACGTTCTCCGGTGTTGCAAAGATGCTCTTCTTTATAACACCTTTCTTCGAGGACTGCAAGGAATAGTCAATTGTAAAAATAAGATATTCGAATGTATCAGTGAAATACAGGAAAAAAAACTACACAGATATCTTGTACATACCTTATTAGTAAACGCTAACCATTTATTTTTCTCCAACTCACGTTCTTCCTCCAATTCTTTGAATCGCTGTAGTTTCCTCTGCTTCTTTTTCTTAAGATATTCTCTTTGTTTGTTAGGATCTGAACCCGCGACCGCAGCTGCTTGCATCTTCCTATAAACAAGTAAATTATAAAAACAGTTTATATTCCTAAGATAGCGTGTCGCAAATAAGCCGATAAATAAATCTGTAATATTACTATAATCTTAATGAAAAATACAAGAAAGATGTGAGACAAGAATTAGAGAAAGATAGAGAAAAACCTGTTGATATGCTATAAAAATTCATATAATTTTGTACCTAAATATTACTATTTCTCTATTATTTTCTATAGTATCTATCATTTTCCATAGTAATAAGCAGCCCAATAAATTTTTCAAATAATACATATTGTACAATACTGTACTAGTATTTATAACACTTTTTTTGCCACAATAATTATATCAGTAAAATATATCATAACTGGTACTATAAAACCACAAAGTAAGATACTAACAATATATTATTTCGTATAAATTATCAAATTACCATAAACAATAATTTACCAATTTTTCTCATATAATTATGTAAGTCTATATATAAAGTCTATATGTAACAATAATTTTATTATATATCATATAATTTTATCACATATATTTCTTTATAATTGTACTTTATACGTGTTGTGTAAATTATGTATATTTTAAAATCACTTTGTACAAACAGGATACCATGAAAATCGGATAATTCTTGTTACCTCCTCCTGGCGCCCAATGGTGTGCACAGACAGCGTGACATAAAAAGGATAAACGAACAATAATGGAATTTCAGACCAAACACCATACCAATGGTGAAGTATTGTTGCCGACACGAAAGAGAAACGAGAAAAATAAATGATTAGTTTCCTTTTTATTGTATTTACGTTTTTCGTAAGAATAGACATGTGCAAAAATATGGGAATTAATTTACACAAATGCTACCTTTCAACAAATTCCAATATGATGCAGAAGACTTACTTTGACTTTTGGTCCGCCCAGTCTGACGCTGGCCTCTTTGCAACGGACTTTAGTTGGCTCAGCATAGTGACATCGGTATTCTTATATTCATTAAATGTTATGTTTACAACTCCATCTTCACTAATTGCATCTATGGTTGCCTCATAATATCTACAAAAAATTATGTCTCCAGTATATTGATTTTTCTAATATAAGTAACCAATAAGTAATCAAAGCATGGTTTATTTGTACTTAACCTTGGTTTCCTCTGTAACTCTAACATTCAACATTAAAGCCTTTGACAGTTAAATTTAAAACTGTTTTCTTAAAATAAAATTTGTCAGATATTAGTTGAAAGATACTCACTTGCCATCTTCGCTCCAAGGTGCCATACATTGATCACTGACTTTCCACTTATTGGCCAGAACTGCAAGCAAAATAGGATCTTTAGCGTCCATGCCATTGGCTTGCCTTTTTTCCTGCTGTTGTGACTTAATTAAATCATGTGTCAGCTCTATTACTTCCTCCAGGTCGATTTTCAGCTTAATCAGTTCCTCATTATTTGGGTCTGTCGTGAGAGCTGCTTCCACCTGAAACCCCAATAAATGCGAGCGACTGCCTTTCGCAAGAATATAAACAAGCGAGATTATCGCATCAGATTAGTTGTTGCGAGACTAGAGGTTAATAAAAGTACAACGAGAAGACTCACCTGCTGAAGTTGTAGTTTGTAGTTTTGTAAGTCGTCCATGATATCCCGATTTGATCCAGAGACAAATGATTTAAAGTCACGGAATAATTCGTCCGCTTTTTCCTGTTTTCGTCCCACAAATACTATTAGAAGTATTCCCCTGTAATGTCTCTAACAATTGAGCACAGAGATGAGTAAATATGGGCGATGATAACTATTAAATCGATGTTATCGATGTTCGACTTGTTTTTTTTTTGTTAAAAAATCGATTATCTTCTCGATATTCTCAGACTCGACTAATCATAATTCATATGTCGATAGTTTCCACATATTTCGATATTACTAAGAGAAAATATAGGGAGTATGCAGAGATCGTTGGATTTATCCTTATTTTCACTTAATTTCACTCGATGAATCCGAAAATCATAGTCAAAATAGTCTTAATATCCGGTAAGTGTAAAAAATGTTGGAACACACTATAAACAGAAGAAAGCAACGGTTGATTTTATCATTTTGTCAAGCGAATTTAAATTGCCTACATATTCTCTTTTCAGTACTATATTTTAGGATTGCTTTCCAAAACCCTACTCGGCAGGTAGAGTAGCGTTTAATTGATCAATCAGGACAAAAAGAGTAAAGATTTCTTCATCATAATTGGTTGATTATTGTTACTCTACCTATTGAGTAGTATTTTGGAACACAGTCTAGGATTCTAGATGTGTTCTGAAATGTACTATGAGCACATTCTAAAGTTCTTGTTCAGTATATATGATTCTTCGCAAACGAAAGGTTTTGCAAATGATTTAAAAGTTACATGGATCATTTTTACGAATAAAACTCATATTGGAGGTATATTACATCATTTGTAGCAACGTTTTCCTCTATAGTTTTGCAATGAAATTATTGGCTTGGGGCTTATTTACGGAAAACAATTTTTCCAAAAGAATTTGTCCCAGGTCTAATTACTTTGTACATAAAAGTAACATAATTATAATAGTTCTCAACTGAAGCAGATGCAATTATTTTGATTAAAAAACGCTATTGGGGGCATATTGTGTGTAGTATGAAAGGGGAGACGTTTAGTACTTACTAGACAAGATGGACACATGTATATAAGCACTGGTAAAGTACTGGTCGTTCCGTAGTGGCATTCACTAACATTCTTTTTATATAGTTAGTAATGTTTCGACGGACTGTGTAATGGAAGTTTGCATGCACTGTCAGGTTCGTGGGTTCAGTGGACAACAATTTAACCTAACCTAATCTTAAGTTTCAAACTCAGAAGTGTAACCCATCAGGTAACGGACACTCCGACAAATATCGTGCAAGTGTTGTATTTTCAGTGATTATTGAATGGTGAAAGATCATCGGCAAACATCAGAAAACTACTGTTGTGAGTAGAAATTATAGAGAAGCTATAGGTTCCATGGCATTTCCACTAAATGATCAGGTCTACACAAAGTCCTTTACTCCTAGGGAGTATCAGGTGAGTTATTTTGATATAATCAAGTGTGTGAGAAATAAAGAAAATATAAGTGTTATGAAAGAGATTATATACAGATTGTTATGGTATTACTTTATGAATTATTTGCTGGTGTTAACAATTGTTTACAGGTAGAACTTCTTTATGCGGCCAAAGAAAAGAATATAATTATATGTTTAGGAAAGAATTTTGAGCAAACCTTTATTGTTATAAAATTGATTCAAGAGTTTGCTACTAATAACAGAAGGTAACAATGATAATGTTTCTATTTGTTTTTCAGTAGATTGAATTTTTATAGTTATTCTTATAAGAAGTATTTGAAGAAGTATGAAAGGATTTATTCATTTATTTGTAACTTATTGTATATAGATTAGTAAGTGACAGTGGGAAACGAGCAATATATATATTAAACAATGAAAATAAGTGTGTAACAAAAGCAACTTATATAAAGCAATTAACAGATCTGAAAGTATTAGCATGTGATTCTGTACCTAAGGAATTTGGTGAAAATTTGGAAAGTTCTCACGTAAGACAATATTATTATCTGCCAACTATATCAATAATTACACAATTATAAGAATTCTTAAGTTTATATTGAGTTTATATTTTACTTTATATGTAGGTATTAGTTGGAACTCCAAAAGTCTACGCACAGTTAATATCAGAAGAGAAACTTTTACCATGTCATATAAATCTAGTCATAGTAGACGAGTGCCATAAGTCTAACGAAGACAGCAATTTAAGGTTTATTCTTCAAACTTTTTTATCGTGCAACAATGTTCCTAGAATCATTGGGTTAGCAGTACCCTTGTTTAATTTGACGGAGGAACCTGGAAGATTGGGCCTAGAAATAGAGAAAGTAGAGGCTGCCTTTCAGTGTGGTGTAGAAACTTCAAATGATATCCTTTCAATAATACGGTAAATTTTTTATTAGTGAAATAATTTTCTTATGTATAAATCACAATAACATGAAAATTACCTGCAGTTATAGCCCAAAGCCGAAAGAATATGTGGTGGAATACGCTAAAGGAGGGAAAGGAGATTTGTATAATACGCTTGAGAGTTTGGTGCTACATGCCACTGAATTTTTACACGATCATCGTTATGATCCTACTGAAATTTATAATGAGGAATTTCTTGAGGATATTCAAAAAATTCCTGATCCAAGAGAAAAGCCTTTGGAGATGATGCAAGACTTTATGCACATACTAGAGACTCTTGGACCATGGTGTGCAGATCGTGCTGCCTTGGCGTTGTTATTTTTAACGGAAAAATTGAAAATCAAAACTCCTTACGAGAGGCATTATCTTCTATTAAATATGGTGGCATCTGTTTTCATAAAAATTCGGTAAGGATTGTGGTAATAATCACAATATTAATAACCTATATTTACTGTTTTTCTCTTTTTTATGTTTTCAAAAGTTAAATAATTAAGTGAACTTTGAAAATATATATTCCAGTGCCGTTTGTGATAATACTTTTCAACATTTACCTGAGAAAGAAAGAATATATCAATATAGTACTCCAAAAGTTCATCGATTGTTACAAATCTTAAAAACTTATACTCCTTTTTATACTAAAGAAAATCATACTCCAGAAAAGAAAATGAATGCGGGTAAGAATCTTTGTGCCGTTCTAACGTACACAAGTTGTATATTTCCAGTGTAATTTTAAATGTGTTGCTAATTTCAGATACTAATTCAAAGAATTGTTTCGCAAAGAATGACAAGGACGTTGCCAGCTCGAAAACTCAGGACAGATTGGTACAGCCAAGAAAGTTTGGGGGTAATTGGAAGTCAAACGATGATAATTATAAAAAGACAACCAAGTCACAACGTTACCTGTGCGGTAGCACGGATCCTGACTTACTTTGCGGAGTAATTTTCGTGGATAAAGGGTTCACGGCTAAAATTTTATTTTATTTGTTAAGTGTATGTTTGCATCTGATTATAACGACCAAGTGTATTATATAATTAACTGTTAACTTTAATATTAATCACTTACAGGAAATATATAAGCATGATGAGGACTTGCAATTTTTATCACCTCTTTATACAATCGAAAGGACTCTTGACGACGTTGGTTACTCGAGAGATTTAGAAATGGAACATAGGAAGCAGGAAGAAGTTCTAAAGCGATTCAGGATTCACGAGTGTAATTTATTGATCGCAACTTCAATTTTGGAGGAAGGTTTGTAAGAATATATTTTTATCATGTTCCGTGTATAGGGTGTTTCTTAAAAAGTGGGACTCGCTTCAGGAACAGATTCAGGATCTTCAAACAAGCAAGTTAGCTTGCGAGTTTCTATTCAAACACGACATGATGGTTGTTATATACTTTTTATAAAGGTAAGCATGGGATTGCTAAAAAGCACCCAGGTGACACTCGAATATAATTCGAGAACTGTGCGAAATCAGTCATATATACATTACAGGAGCTATTCTGCTTGGTTTTAGGTTCTGAATTTGTCCTTAAAAAGCTGGTCCCACTTGTTAAGAGATATCATAGTTCGTGTTACATTGCTGTGATTAGCGATGATGTATTTCCATTACGTTTTCCCCAGGCATCGACATTCCGAAGTGTAATTTTGTAATGAGATACGACTTCCCTAAGAACTACCAGTCGTATGTACAATGCAAGAGCAGAGCAAGAGCCATGGATGCCTTGCATATATTATTAGTACCTCAGGAAATATCTAAAGAGTTGATATGGCAATTAGCGCAATATCAATACATAGAAAAGGTACAATTTTGTAGAACTACATACGTAGAATCGTAAAGATGTACTTATTAGTTTCAATTCGGGCTTAACTTTCTATGTGCCACGATATTGCATACATTTCATTCATCCATCAACATTTCATTACATACTGGTCTTATCATAATATCGATTTTTAACATGGTTGCTTATCCGCGCCAACCTCAGTCGAGAAATTGTAATGAGAAAAGCATCAATCTGTTTTGTAGACTTTATTATTAAAGTGTTCTAATAAAGAGCTAACCGAGGAAGAGGAAAATGAGGCGGATATGTACGCCTCGATGATACCGCATTACAAACCGCTCGACGGCGATGATGCTCCCAAAGTCACCTTTAACTCCGCTATCTCGTTGGTGAACAGGTAACATAATATTTCCTTCTGACGATCTTGACAGATAATCAAATGTTCGAGCATACTATTTGGTAACCATTCTCTAAGATAAATATATAAAATGTGTTTACTCACTATGCTGTAAATCACGTAGATACTGCGCGAAGCTACCTAGCGATACATTTACGAGATTAACTCCGGAGTGGTCGATCGACACAGTTAACATCAACGATGTAACGATGTACACTTGTTCTCTGCGACTCCCCATAAACTCACCAGTAAAATATGTTGTTACGGTAAGCGGCTACATGCATGTGACAATGCAAAATGCACTCCCCACCGTATGTCCTCGTAGTTCCAGTTTCTTTGATCGGTTCAACGGAGACAACGTTTATGGACAAAAATCTTTCTCTAGTTATTCATACATTTTACAACATTACAATATATTTTTTCTCTCTTGTCCTAGTCATACCCGATGCCAAACAGAGCGATGGCCAGGCGTATGGCCGCCTTACAATTATGCATCGACCTACATCGGGGAAACGAGATAGATGATAACTTGTTGCCTATTGGAAAGGAGAACTTCAAAGCGAAGCCCGAAGATGCTGAAGTGCCTGCTTTGCCGGACGAGAGCAGGGCTGACTTCTCGGAGGCTAGACCTGGCACGACGAAACGTCGACAATATTATTATAAAAAGGTAAAATTAGTCTCTCTAAAATAGGGAAAGAAAGTCTGGTATTCTTGTTGTTATGTCGCAAGCTGTTATTTAAAATGTGTATCGTTCTGTCCAGACAGCTGAAGCATTGACGGATTGTAGGCCAATAGTCGGCGTACCGTCTTATCTGTATCATATTAACATGGTATTAAGTTGTCCTCTGCCAGAGGAACAAAACACACGTGGCAGACGTATTTATCCCCCCGAAGAATCGGCTATTGGATTCGGTATACTCACATTGAAGGAGATACCGAAGGTGAAAACTTATTAGATTCGCCATTCCTTTCCAGTCACATCGCATTCTACCTTCCAGTCCACTATTTTCTCAGGGTACGCTTGATATAATATATAAATTGCACTTTTTTCTTTTTACAGTTGTGTCCATTTCCTATTTATACTAGATCGGGCGAGGTTCACGTGCAATTGAAGCTTAGTAAGCAGACTGTAATTTTAGACGAAGTTCAGATAGAAAGAGTCGCCACTTTCCTCAACTATACTTTCACGAATGTCTTGAGATTGCAGAAATATTTAATGCTCTTTGACCCGAACGCTTCGGAAAACTCGTATATAATTGTACCGGTTAGAATAGGTGAGTACATCTGTTTCTATCAAATTTGTACCTGATAAATCTTTCTTCTGTGATGCAGAATTTTTTAAATGTCTGCCTAAAACGTGGTACTTTTGATTTTTTTAGTTACGACTGATGAAGGGTCTGATATTAGAGTAGATTGGGATTTTTTGGAATGTATTTACCAGAATCGAAGCGCGGTACCGACCAAGGTGCCGGAGGAGGCTAGAAAAAATTTTAAGTTCGATCCATCGAAATATTACGATGCTGTGATCATGCCGTGGTACAGAAGCCAAGACCAACCACAGGTAGATAGATACATCGAAATGCGCAGAGTCTTGCAACGCGGATCTCTCGTGTATTTCTTCACGACCTTATACGAGTGCTTTTCTTTTTTTTGCAGTATTTTTATGTGGCGGAAATATGCACAAACTTGAATCCAAAGTCTTCTTTCCCCGGAGACGATTATAGCACTTTCGAGGAATATTACTTGAAGAAATATGATATACAGATACAAAACCTTGAGCAATCGTTATTAGATGTAGATCATACATCTGCTAGGTTAAACTTTTTAACTCCTAGGTAAGATCTACAACATAACATACAACATAAACAGCTAATTATTAAAGCGTCAATTTTTCAAAATTTCTTCTCGATCCATTTTTAACGAATTACTTATTTCAGGTATGTTAATCGTAAAGGTGTCGCGTTGCCTACGAGTAGTGAAGAGACGAAGCGCGCGAAAAGGGAGAATTTAGAGCAGAAACAGATTCTCGTTGCTGAATTATGCGCTATTCATCCTTTCCCAGCTTCCTTGTGGAGACAAGCGGTCTGCTTACCCTGCATATTATATAGAATTAACGCTTTGCTGCTTGCCAATCAAATACGATGTCAAGTCGCAGAAATGATAAACTTAGGACAGCAGAATCTGAGTTCAGGTGGGCACGTTTAATGAAAAGATCTTAGGTTGTCCGATAAGTTTTCTTACGGATTTTTACGAAAAATTCAGAGCTAATACTTTCACAACTTGGCATAACTTTATTTTTCATTCTTTTTTTTATGTTTCCTGTCATCGAAAAAACAGTCAATACATTATTCAATAATGTTATGCCTTGTCAATAATACTATTTTATTGATATTTTAATGACAATAAAATTAGGGTAATTTCGATAAATGTGGCATACACTTATAATTGAAGGGAAAACGTATACATGTCTTATAGATTTCGAATGGTCAGCGTTAGATTTTGGATGGAGTTTGGCGGAGGTATTGAAGAAGTCCAAGGAAGCGGAGAAAGCGAAGCAGGCGAAAAACGAGAGCGCACTGAGCAACTGCAATGCGATCTCCGATAAGTGCCAAAACACGTCCGACCGCGCGTCGAGCAACGAGACCGAGAAGGAATCGGAACTGGAGTCGCTCGACGATACGAAAGCTGACCAAGCGGAGGAAGAGAGCGCCGACGAGAAGAACGACGAGCTGGAGATCGGCACATGGTCCAACGACATGGCGATGAACTCCATGGATTTCGACACGGACATGAAGTCGTTCCCGTTGAACCTGACGGTCCTGCCGCAAAACTTCAGCTGGAACGATATTCGATACGGCTCGCCGGCGTGCGAGTCCGACTTCGACGGATACGAGTCGGACGATACGTACAGCGACGGCTTCGTGGACATGACCGACGAGAGCGAGGACGACAGCAGGGGACTGAAGATCTCCTACATGGGCGAGAATGTCGCTGTGGCCGTGGAGGACGAGAAGCAGATATGCAAGCAGGAGATCAACAAGAAGATCTTGGATCTCCTGGAGACCGAGAAGAATTCCGACAATAATCTCTGGCTGTACGCGCAGAAGGACGAGGAGCTGTCGCTGGCGAAGCACAAGCGGGCGCACCACGAATTCGCGAAGCGGAAGGAGCGCGAGATAACGAGCGACGGTACCTTCATATCTTGTGATTCTGAAATTGTGATCAAGAGGAAGAACTCGCTGAATTGCCCGGCCGTCAACGGACGGCCGAATTATAAGCATAAGAATTATATCGGCAGCGTTGTGGAGAGATTCATCAACGAAGTGTTAAACAAGAGTCCCGCCGAGCCCGCTGAAATAGCGAGGACGGAGACCCACAAGCTGAACGAGACGAATTACTTGGATAGCGGTCTCTTTAGTTTCGATTACCAGCCGGAATTGAACGGCCACCCCGGGCCGAGTCCTAGTTTAATTCTGCAAGCTTTAACGATGTCTAACGCGAACGACGGCATTAATTTGGAGCGCCTGGAGACGATCGGCGACTCGTTTCTCAAGTACGCTATAACCACGTACTTGTATTGCACATATGACAATATCCACGAGGGGAAGCTTAGCCATTTAAGGTCCAAACAGGTACGTCGATGGATTTCCTTCTTCGAGATCGACGGCTATCTTTCCATTGTACACACAGTCGGCGAATTAGAGGTTGCGATCTTTTTTCTCGATGATGCGTTTCGCAACGCATCTCGTATCCGAAATAGAAAAATGTGTCTCCTGAAAATTACCGGAAAGCAAATTCTCCTATTGAATACGGAATGCGTTGCGAAACTCATCGAGAAAAGTGTCGCAACATTTTAATCTAGCGATTATATGTATACAAGGTGTCTATTGCTAAGTGTCTCATCCGTCATATTTGTAGTTTAATTTTCAATGATAACTCAAAATTTTGCGTGACTGTTTGCAAAATGGTAGAATACTTTTTTGTTCAAATCGATTTAAACTACAGATATGACGGACGAGACACTTAGCAGCAGACAATTTGTACACATATAATCGTTAGATCAAATATGGTATGCATACGACGATCTTCGAAAGGCGAATTTTGGTTTCAGGTTAGCAATTTAAATCTGTACAGACTCGGGAGGCAGAAGATGCTCGGCGAGAGTATGATAGCAACGAAATTTGAGCCGCATGACAACTGGCTGCCTCCCTGTTACTACGTTCCCAAAGAGCTTGAGCAGGCGCTCATCGAGTCGGGCGTCCCGTTCGCCCTGTGGAATCAAGCCGACATTCCCACTTTGCAAGCTGTGAATCCCACCGAGATCAATCAGCTCGTCAAAGAGACTGAGGAGAAACTTGTGATCATGAAAAGCGAATTAGATAAGAACGACAGTAGGCTGCCGAGCAATTTAGACAATATGCGATGCTTCATACCGTACAATCTGATTACGCAGCACAGTATCCCGGATAAGAGTATCGCGGACTGCGTGGAGGCTCTGATAGGAGCGTATTTGATCGCATGTGGACCACGTGGAGCGCTTCTCTTCATGGCCTGGCTAGGAATTCACGTTCTACCTACCGAGGAGACTCACATAGTGAGCGAGAGCGAGCCGGAGGAGAGGATTCCCGGTAGCACGCCGTACGTGAAGGAAATCAACGAATGCGACCAAACCACGTGGACGCAAGTGAGTGGCTGATATAATGTATTTTATCATGATTTGACTGAATTTAAAGTAAATTTTAGATTCTACGTATCATAATTGATTTTATAAAAAAATAATTCCCCCCCCCCCCCCCCCCCCCC